AGTTTAGCAGTATAACCTTCATTACAGTTGTGAATTTCTGAAGAGAACTCAGAGAGATAACATCTGTTAACAGCAGGCATCTGTATGATTTTGTGGCTGGTGACACTTCTCAAAGGATGGATGTAGTTTACCAGGTTAGATGATTGTTGGTGCAGAAACAAGCTCTCACCTTAAAGCCAATAAAAGGTCCTTTATTCTAGAGCCAAATATTGGTGACTGTGTCCCAGAAACACATATTTATGTTACCCCAAGTACAGTGTTCCTTGTGGAAGCAGTGTCATGAAGTTTTATGGTTTTACAGGACAAAGGAAAGCCATAAATCAAGGCAAGTTTAAGATATATTGGTGGGTACATCAGGGAGGCAGTTACATTAAGATGGGGAAGCTTGTCTATAGGCCTCACATTCTATCTGATGATACTCTTAGCTTTTGGGTTGGTGGATGCTAGTGATCTGCTACATTAATAGATTCCAAAATGTTTTTATTTAGTAGTCACATGATGTTAGTTCCTACACAGAGGTGGATAAGGAATTCCTGTTCAGGGACCTAAAGGTAGCCTGAGATAAGGTAGTTAGCCTCTGGACATGCAACATTGCAACCTCTCTATTTCACTGCAGTTCTAATCGGTGTATCAGTCTTTGCAGACACAGCTTTTTTTCCGGGAATCCCCCTTGACTAAATTAAGCAGTGTTTACAAATTATGTTTTAAAGTTAAATAAAAAGTTAGCTGAGAGTGGTGGCACATTCCCTTTATCCCAACACTTGGGAAGCAGAGACAGGCAGATCTCTGGGAGTTCAAGACTAGCCTGGTCTACATAGAGTTCCAGGCCAGCCAAAGATGCATAATATGACCCTGTCTGGGAAAAAAAAAAAAAAAAAGTAAAAATATATGAGCTGGCTTGCTTCTCTTAAAGAATTATCTTTTGTAAACAAAAGTATAAAGTGGTTTGGAGCGGCCTTGTTCAGGTTTGCTTGAGAGAGGTGAGCTGATATGGGCCAAGCCAATGATTACATGCATTCTGGCCCAAAGCAAGCATGATCCATTTGTTGTTTTTAAAACCTGCATTTGAGGTAAGAGGATTTTAGCATCTTAGTGGTTGTGTTGGAAGCTTTGACTCTCAAACCAGCAGGACATGCAGAGTAGACCTTATGGCTTCTTCCCTTTCCAGTCTCTTACAGACCCTGGTTTTCTTTCTTGCTCAGTGTAGATGGGATGACTAGGCTATAGGGCAGGACACACACCTCCTTGAAGGATAATTGTGTGCTTGACATTTCTGAGTTTGGAGGCCTACGTGTTGTAGGGACTGGTTGGGTCATATTTATCCTGCAGCTGTGTTTTCAAGTGGCTGCTGCTTGAGTAGTTACAGCCAAAGATCTATTCCTGTGCTAAAGCCAGAATGCAGCAGGCTGACTAACTTTCTCCAGAAGCAAGCCAAGTACTTGGGGAAGGGGGCAGGGATCCCATGAGAATTGTTTGTGTCCTTTTGAATATTCATTACTGGAATAAATTCTAGTGTTCCATATAAAGAGAGCCTTAAGGCTTAGAGTATACAAGCCCAGGCCTATATATTAGCTCGCTGACCTGCTGTTAGTGTTGTCTTCTGGGGATAATAAGACTGTGACTCTCCATCTTACACCATTATTGTGGGAGCCAAATAGTGTGATTTGTGCAGAAGGCCCCCCCCCAATATCAGGCAGTACTTTGACTGTTTTGGTTTACTCTCACCAATGGCAAACATGATAAAATAAAAATAAAGCATCCTTAGCATAGTTTCCCAAGGTGTCAGAATTGCACACCCACATTTAGAATTAAAAAGAGAAGGAACTCAGGGACATGATGCCGATTATTTTTCACTCACAGGTGGCTCATAGGCTCATGTGTGTGACTTACGTATAATTAAGGATATTTACCAAGAATGAACCTAAAAACATATAGAACTCAGTCTTTGGAAGACAAGATTTTAGAGGGGCCAGAGAGATGGCTTAGAGGGTAAAGGTACTTACCATCAAGCTTGATGACTTGAGTTCAGTCTTTGGAACCCACATAGTGGAAATAGGGAACCAACTTTCCTAAATTTTCCTCTGACCTCCAACACATGGCATGTGCATTCTCCTCCCCCAAAATAAGTAAGTGTAATTTTTGGAAGAGCTGGGGAGATGGCTCAGTGGATAAGAGTTCTTGTTCTGCAAGCATGAGAACCTGAGTTTGGATCCCCACCATCCAAATTTAAAAAAATAAATAAATAAAACAAAAAAAACAGGCAAAGCTATAAATACTATAACCCCAACATTAGAGGGTGGAGACGGGTAGAACTCACTGGCTGGGCATCCTAGCCAAAATGGAGCTTCCATGGTTCAGTGAGAGATGCTGCTTCAAAGCAACAAGGTGGAGAGTGGGAGTGTAGCCTCTGAGGTCTTGCTCTGGCCTCTGCATGGCCACATGTACATATGCAGGCTTGTGCAGCTATACACTTGGGTATGTATGTCTCACACACACAGAGCAAAATATTTGGGCAGATGTTTCATAAAAGAAGAAATACTAATATTAAGTAAGCACATTTAAAAAATACCCACTTGTTAGTCAATAGAGAAATACAAATTAAGATTACAGGAGACCACTTACTGCTTGTTAGATTGGCCCCGTTCTAAGTGGATCAGAATGCAGAGCAATGAGAATCCCAATCAGTGCTAGTGAGAACCTAAACTTGTATAGCTAATTTGGAAAACAATTTGGCAGTTTCTTACAAAGTAAAGATAAACTCACTAAAAGACCCATCAATTGTACGGTCCAGGTTTTATATAAGATAAATGAAAGTGTGGCTACAGATGTTGCTCAGAGGTTCATTATTGGAGGTTTATTTTTAAGAATAAATTATGTGGGAGCAGTGCAAATGGAAGTCCATTGAGTAGTGGTTCAGCAAACTGTGTTATATTCTCTGGGTTTCCACGCTGTTATTGCTGATTGTACAAGTGAGTGCATGACCTGGATGAATCAGTGTTCTGCCAGAGCAAGGAGGAAGACTCAGAAGAGTTTGTACTATGTACTTGCTCTACCTGAAGTTATTGGACAGCATAACTGTCCTTGTGGTACTGAACTGCAGCCAGAAGATAGCATTGGATCCCTGGGGACTGGAGGTACAGATGCTTGTGAGCTGCTGTGGGTGCTGGGAATCAGTGCCAGCATGAGATTCTTGGGGAAATTCCCATTTCTTTGGGACCCATTGTTTCATAGTCCTTGACAGTCAAGTTGAGAGACACATGTGTGTCTTTAGAGTGTCTTTATTTCTGCCAGGGCTGTTATACTAGCAGAAGTACTTTAGAGGTCTCTGGGACTCTAATAAGGGAGATATTTGATTGTGATGAGCAGGGGACATTATTTGGGTTGAGTATAGTATTGTCCTTATCTTGCCTGTAATAATGGTTATGTACTTTATATTTGTTGATTATTGTTTTTATTATTATTATTTCAAATTGGTGTTTTTTACTTTTATATGGTATACCTCAAAAAGAAAAAATCATGAACAAGTGAATAACTGCTGTGCTAGGAGTATGATTAGGTAAAAAGTGGGTCTTCCCGTGGTCGGTCACAGTCTGTGGACATGTTGGAGAAAGACGGTTGAGAGATAAGAGCCACAGAGGGAAGTACTGAGGCCCCACTGGAGTACTTCATCACTGGCTGCCCATAAAGGAGCCTTGAGTTTAGCTTGATGAGTGAACAGAAGTCAGTGTGGACAGGGAGGGCATTCCAGGCCCAGGCTCACGGAGGTGAAACTTCAACTTGTGTTTTGTGAACAGGGAGAGCCTGGTATTGTGGGCGTTAGTTGGATGCAGGTTGGCACAGAGATAGAAGGTGAAATGTTCCTTACATTTGCCTATCCCTCCTCTGATGGAAGATGATCCTGCCTTCCTTTTTGGGTTCTTTACGTTTTGTCTAAAAACAAACAAGCACTAAAAACAACAGAATAACAGCTTCCAAGGAGGAGAAACTGACTAAGTGGCTTCTGCCACACAGGTAACTTAAGGACACACTTGAACTTCTGTGCACTACAGGACAATCAGGAAAGTCTTTGACTGACAGCCACCTGCAAAAATGATGCAATTAGGCAGGTGTGACTTGGATCTTTAAGGAAAGATCAGTTCCTTAGTACCAAGATGGAGAAGTTCAAAGTCTCCTCTACATTTCAGTTTGGAAAGGCACAGACCTGCAGACTGGTTCAGGTATACATATCTGCAATTCTTTTTTATAATATAGTATTTTACTTAATTCTTTGAGCATTTCATATATACATACGATTTATTTTGATTATATTCATCCCATGCTTCCCCTATTTTCTTATTTTAAATTTATTTAGTTTTATTTGTGTGTGTGTGTGTGTGTGTGTGTGTGTGTGTGCGCGCGCGCGCGCGCTACATGTGTGAGGTGCACATGGTGGCTGGAAGAGTGTCAGGTTCCCTGGAGGAGGTTTGGGAATTGAACTCATGTTCTCTTGAAGACCAGCAAGTGTTCTTAACCATTGAACCACCTCTTCAGTCTATCTCCCAGCTTCATATTCCTTGCCCTTTTTAAAAATACACTGACCAAGTCCAGTTTGTCTTTCCCATGTACTCATGGGTGTGGGACCATCTGCCCAGTGCCACACTGTTTAAAAATAAACGGCCTTGCCGGGCAGTGGTGGCACATGCCTTTAATCCCAGCACTCGGGAGGCAGAGCCAGGCGGATCTCTGTGAGTTTGAGGTCAGCCTGGTCTACAGAGCGAGATCCAGGACAGGCACCAAAGCTACACAGGGAAACCTTGTCTTGAAAAAAACCAATTAAACAAACAAACAAATAAGTAAATAAATAAACGGCCTCTCCTTCCCCCAGTATTGAAACTCCTGAGTATCACTCTTGGTCCTTGGAGTGATGTAGCAGAGAGATGACAGATGAACAGAAGGATTCCAGTTACTGACAGCTGTTGGGAGGCCTGCTCTACAACCCAGTGTTTCCTTGTGTGTTGCAGGCTATGGAGTTTGAGGGCTGGACGGACACCCTGTTCCTTCTGCAGTTCACCCTCTCCTGTGTGATGGGGTAAGCCTTTAGACCTTCCTAGCAGATCATTTCCTAGAGAAGCAGCCTTCAGAAAGTTGTTTCTGTTCTTCTCCCTTGTTTCTGAGTGTGTTGTTCAGTTTCCTGAGTGTGTCACGTTCTGGATCCTGGTGGCTTCATATCCCCTGGGAATGTGCTGAACTGATGATCCCAAGCCACTCATAGATGGATGGAGAAATGAAATGTATACCTATCCACTATCCCACTGTCTGATAACAACCATTCTGTTTCCATTTGTATTGTTTCGTTTTCCTCACCATTGACATCTAACGTATGTCATTGTCCCTCACCTGTAAGAAAGCAGGCTCAGAGCTTAAGTAATTATCTAAGTTTGCATGGCTAGTGGTTGGCAGGGGTGGCATTTCGGTCTGGGGCTACTTGACTTCTGTGGAGAAGGGGAGGGGGGTCTGTGCATTTCCCAGGCGTGTTTCCCTTAGCTGGTCAGTTTGGTTGGAGCACGGGACTGGACATGCGCACAGTGAGGCCGTGCTTCAGAAGCCTCAGTGATCTGGGCATTACAAATGCTGCTGGGCAGTTGTCGAGCAGACCTGCCACACCCTCTTAAATTCTCATGTGGTTTCCTTCCATTATTGAGAATCCATCTTGCCTTCATCCTGGCTCTAGGGTCACTTTATCCTAGTGGCAAGTGCCCGGATGCTAGAGGCCTGTGAGCCTGAGCATCCTGTCTGACTTGTGTGAGTTAGCAGGAAGGATGCTCTCTACAGAATCCTCATCATTGTCAATGAGGTGTTCATGGTTTTGGTAGCAGGAAAAACACCTGGTCAGAAAATGGACACGTGTTTCCCTTGAGTTCCGGTTCTAAGATCTGAAGCTGTGGAGAGGCACCGAGAGCTCTCAGTTGCTCAGAGCCTGCCTGACTGGCACTGGTTGTTTCTCTTGGTGAAGGATTGTGGGAAAGTACGCTCTGGCCTGTAACAGACCCTTTTCTTCTCTGCCCTAGGTTTATCTTGATGTATGCTACAGTACTCTGCACTCAGTATAATTCTGCTCTTACCACAACAATAGTTGGCTGCATTAAGGTGAGATGAGATAACGATACTGTTTCTTTTTGGAATCCGCTTTATTTTAAAATGTTCCTCTAACTTAAATATCTGGGGGCCAGTGAGATGGCCCAGTTGGTAAAGATGCTTGATGCCAAACCTGACAACCTGTGTACAGTGTCTAGAACCCACATGGTGGAAGGCAAGGATTGGCCTAGCAAGCTGTCCTCTGACCTCTGTTTACATACTGTGGGATAAGTCCTTCCCAAAATAAATAAGCAAAAACTGTTTAAATTTTTTTAAATTAAAATTTGGCTATGGGGCCAACAAGATGGCTCAGCAGGTAATATCACTTGCTGTCTAAGCCTGGTGACCTGAGTTTGAGTCTTAGAATTCATGTCAAAATGGAAAGAGAGAACTGACTCCACAGACTTGTCGTCTAACTGCATGTGTGCCCCTCTCCTATCATACATACAACAATACTAATCAAATAAAATTTAAAGACTCCGTCAGTAACCTTAAGTCTCACAGCTTTATTCCTGTGCGCCAGCTTTACTGGCTTGGCACCCTGTGGTGGTCATTTCTAAACTAGTTTATAAGAACTTAGGAAGGGCATGGCCTCTGCTTAAAGGACTGTGAGAAAAGCCAAAGCCATTAGTTACTGTGGAAGAAGAAAGAGAAGTCGACTGCTTCCTGACAGAGTGATAGCCCTGTCCCTTCAGCCCCCAGTGAGAGTGGTTGTGCTCCAAGCGCTGCCTTTCTTTGTGAGGTGAAGCCTGCCAGAAGCTAATCAAGGGGAGTTTCCTGTCTGAGCCAACCCTCACATGGCCTGACAGTTCCCATGATGCCTTTCCTCCTGTTCCATTTTACTTGAGGAAGAATCATTTGTCTTCAGGCAGAAAAGTCAAGTGTACTTGAGCATTGAGTGAATGCTCATCGAAACCTGGGGCCTTTTGTCAGACTTGGTGATTCTAGTTCTTCAGGTTTAGGAATGCCCCCCATGCTCAGATTCCTCAGCAATCAGCAGAGGGGGTTTGCTTTCTGAAAGCTGCTAGACCAAGAGAGGTGATTGTGACCATTTTGGAAAAGGAAGGCAGTTGCCTTGTTTGTCAGTCAGCAGTGAGGGAAGGGAATGCAGAAGGAAAGTCTTGGCTATCTTTAGAGTTTTTTCTGTACCCCAGTGGAATGGGCATTGACCTTATGAGAAACTGCAGGGGTTAAAACTCCTGAACGTAAGGAGCTCCCCATCATGGAGTCAGAGTTTGACATGATTAGTTCTAAATGCTTCCCAAGGGGCATTTCATTATAAAGACAATTTTCAAGATTGGTTTAATATGTTTTATACCCACCCCCTTGCTGGGGATCAAACCTGGGGTCTGTACATGCCAGGGAAGTGCTGTCCTGCTGAGCTGCACTACCCAATCCTAGCCTTGAACACAGCCTGAGTTTTGTCTCACAGGCTTATCTAGGAGAGTCCGTATACTAAGAATGTGGCATTCCCGGCCCATGGCAGTTTACTAGCCAGGAAGGGGAGGAGCTCTGGAAACAGGGACTGACTTACTTTGTGAAAGGAAGGGGAGAAACTGGGGAGTCATCAAATGGTTGAAGCTTTAGGAAGCTGTGTTCTGCTTTTGTAGTGTGAGGATAATTAAGGGCTCAGAATATATTTGTACTTGGGAGTCAGAGAAGGGAATTTAAAACAAATTTTGTCTTTTATTTTTAGTTGTTTTGAAATTAAAGTATAATTATATCATCCCCCCCTTCCTTTTCTTCTCTAGACCCCTTCCTTCCACCTTGCATCCTCTCAAACTAAAAGACTAATGGCTTTTTTTCCTTTGTTATTGTTTTACACACACACACAGCACCCTCCCCCCCCCCACATACACACACACACACACACACACACACACACACACACACACACACGTACGTGTACACTGTCTCACACATAAATAAATAAATACAACTTCATCAGTCCTCCTAATGTTACTTATATGTGTAGGATCTCAGGGCTGACCACTTGGCATTGGATAACAAATTGGGGGATTCATCCCTGGGGAATACTATTGCCTTGAGTTCTTTGTCTGGGGCTGGGGAATGAGGTTTCCCTCCTATTGAGTGGACCTTAAGTCCAACTAGATAGCTGTTGGTTACTGCAAAGATTTGAGTGCCACTCTTGCAACCTCTGAGATCTTGCCATGCTGGTCATTGTGGTTCATATGTGTCTCAATTGGGTAGGATTATTGTTTGCTTCCCTCCTTTGAAAGCTTGCCTATCACCTGCTGGTACTGTGGGAGGACTTTCAAATTGGATCCAGCTCTGGTCCTCCAAGTTCCATGTCCAAAGTGTATGGTGTCTTTATCAATCAGTACTATCAAGTAGAACTAATTTTAAAATGTTATGTGTGTGTGTGTGTGTGTGTGTGTGTGTGTGTGTGTGTGTGTGTGTGTGCATGTGCATGCACACACATATCATAGGGCACCTCTGGAGATCAGAGGACAGCTTTTGGGAAGTCAGTTCTGTCCTCCTACCATTTGGGTTCTAAGGACTGGACTTAGGTCATAAGTAAGCTGCTGAGCCTTTTCACTGGCCTACTAGCAGTGATTTTAAGTATAATACTTTGAATTGACTTCTTATATTTTTGTTTTATTTTGCTTTTTGAGACAGGGTCTCTCTATGTAGTCCTGTCTCTCCTGGAGCTCCCTATATAAACCAGGATAGCTTCAAGCTCACAGAGATCCTTCTGCCTCTGCCTCTTGAGCACTGGTATTAAAGGTGTGCGCCACCATGCCTGGCCCTACTTCTTGTTTTTTTAATTTAAGATATCCAGGAAAAGTCCTCAAAAGACATTCTGTGTTGGTCAAGTCTCCATCTTCCCTTTCAGTTTTAAAAGAAGGAAAATGCTTGTAGTTAAGCCACCTTCTTTACTCTCCCCTCACGAGTCAACAGTTAGCCTAATGGGAGAAAAAAAATTTTCTTGGCCACACCAAGAGGCAGAGCAAGGTTGAGGATGTGTATTATTCTTTATGTAGGCCAGTGTTTTATCTTTGGGAGATACAGACTGGAGAAAGGCTTATGTTAGAGATCCTTTATTCCTGTTCTTGTTACACACAGATGGTAGGCCTGTGTTGGTACTGTGTGCTTATACATTTTGTACTTGACTCACATGGACATTTCAAAACCTCAGTTAGACTTATGTAACAATATATCACTATTTTCTTTTTAGAATATATTAATAACTTATATTGGAATGGTCTTTGGTGGAGATTATATTTTCACATGGACAAATTTTATTGGCCTAAATATCAGGTAAGTAAAAATATTGAATTAAATATAAGTACAGCGACAGATGGGGTTTAGATACTCAAATAGTGTCACAGCAGAGTATTGAGTGGTTCATTCAATTGTGAATATGTTCATTTATGAAGCAAACTTATGCAGTGCCTGCAATGTGATAAATATATTTTGATGTCTCTAGCTAACATTTTAAAGAAACGGGAAATGGCTCCATATTCAATGCGTAAGATTTAGAGTTGAACTTCCTCTCCCTTGCGTCCACAAACAGCAGTTTGTTTACTGAACTTGCTCAGGTAATGCTCTCAAGAAATTCAGGGGTAAAACCCACCAGTTCTAGAACAGTTGTGAGTATCCGACCATAGGTATGCCACTTAAAAAAATTATTAATCTTGTGGGGCTGGGGAGAGGGCTCAGCAGGTAAGAGCACTGGCCACTCTTCTGTAGGGCCCAGGTTTAATTTCTAGCGCCCACATGACAGCTCCTGCCATCTGTAACTCCACTTCCTGGGGATCTGATGTCCTCTTCTGGACTCCACAGGCACCAGAAAAGCACATGGTATAAGACACAGGCAAAACATTCACACACATAAGTAATAAACAGTGTTTTAAAATTGGTTTTATTTGGCAGTTTCAAACACGTGTGTAATATATTCTGATTTCTCTGTACTCATTCCCTCTGTCAACGCTCTCTCCTATCACCTCCCCCTTGTCACGGCCATTCCCTTTCCCTGACTTGGTTTTTGTTTTGTGACCCATTTAATTTAACCAGTGCCATTTCTGTGACCACTGGGTTGGAGCTATCCACAGGACCTGGTGGGTTGGCACCAGGTACGCACGTGAAGGCGGTGGTTCCTGCTCCCTGAGTCTATCAGTAGCAAACAGCTCCACGGTGAAGGCTGGGGCCCTGCACTTCATCCCTGCTTCACTGTGGATGGGCCATTCTCGTCCAGAGCTAGTGCAGGCATCCATCACTGTGTGTGAGTTCATGGTTGCTGTGACCGCGTCTTACCCAGGAGAGATGACACTGCACAGCCTCTGTACCTCCCAGCTCTTCCCTTCTCTCCTCCCTTTCTTCTGCAGTGTTCCTGAGCCTCTGAGAGAGCAATATAATAATAATAATAATAATAATAATAATAATAATAACAATAACAACCTTGCTAAGAGCTCAGCATCATCAGTCAGTTACTCTCATCATGAGTCTCTACCTCACTATTGTTCACTGGAAAGAGAGACTTCTCAGATTAAGGCATAATGTTTATCTATGAGTATCAACGTAAGTATTTAGAAGGCAGCTTGATGCTGTGCTCATTTGTTAAACAGTAGTATTCAGTATTCCCCATCCCCTATGACTTTCCTTGCCATGGGTTTTTGACCAGGCTTACAATATAACCTGGATTTTCTCCTGTGGAGTGGGTCTCAATCCAACCAGAGGGCAGCTAGTTACCCTGTTACAACAGTGGTGCCACTATGCACAAGTGGGCACATCTCTCTTGGCAGGTTGGCCTAGTAGATTGTAAGAGTTGTGGCTGGATAAGAAACCTGAGGCCTTTTCTGCCCCAGTGGCCTTGCGCATAGTCCCTCCTAGGACTATGGAAGCTGCCTAGCAGAGAGGACTCTCCCTGCTCAGTTCCTGCTAGATTTGTGTGTATCTTGTATCTAGGGTACCTGGTGTCTTCAGCAATAGGATCTTATTGTTCAGTTCTGGTGGGCAACTGAAAGGGATGGCAAGGGCGTCTGTATTTGCGGGGGGAGGGCTCTGGAGTCTCCCTGTCCAACTGTTTTAAGGAGGCATCCCCTCCCTGGAACCAGGGTTTTTGTAATAACTCTTGGCTTCTGGGACAGCTTTCTCCAGCCGTGCAGAAAATCTCCCTTTACACTCTCTCTTTTAATAAGTACATTTTTAAATTTGTCTACAAGGTAGTAAGTTTCCATATAGCCTTTTCATATACCTTCATTTTGGTTCTTCCCAGTCCTCCCTGTTTAGACTTCTCCATAGCCAGTACTCCCACTCTCTGCTTTTACATCACCTGTTTTCCAACCCCCCATCAAGGCTCCTCCCTCCCAATGGCCCCTTTCTACAGATACTCCAAGTTGAACACAAAAAATTAGATATTCGAAGCTAGAATCCACATGTGAAAAAGAATCTGTAGAATTTGGTTTTCTGTGCCTGGTTGCATCATTTCATATGTTTTTCTCATTTCCATCCATTTAACTGCACATTCATAACATTCGTCTTTACAGCCGAATAAAACTCCATTGTATATATGTATCACATTTCCATTATTCATTCACCAGCTGATAGACACCAGAGCTGATTGCAGGCCCTAGCCATTGTGGATAGAGCAGCAGTGAACATGGATGAGCAAGTATCTCTATAGTAGAGTCCTTCCAGTTTCTGCCCAGGAAGTCATATGGTGGCTTTAGCTGTAGCTTTTGGAGGAATGTGCTCACTGCTTTCCATAGTGGCTGCATCAGTTAGCTTCCCACCAGCATCAATGCCTTTCTTAGAACTTGGTTTGCCACCCTCAGTGAAGGGTTGGTGGACACTGTATCAAAGCTGCCTTTCAGTTCTAGGGGTTGAGTTTTGTGGTCTTAAGTATTACTTATATGCCTATAAATTATCCAGCTTATTTTGGGGCCAGACCTCTGTCCTGACGTTAGTCTTGTCTCCTTGTAGCCTGCTTGCCACCTCTAGCTGACTTAGTCCAAACCCAGCTCCTTTCATTTCCTCCTGGTCAGCTCTACCCACAGTCCCGGCCTTCTTCATTTCTGGAAATTCTTCCCTTCCAGATGAAAAACCAGTCTCCATTGTGTGTAGGAAATATTTTAGAAGCTATTTTTACTTATATTTATGTGTATGTGTGTGCATCTGTGAGTGAGTGTGTGGATGTGCATCCTGGTGCCCAGTCCTCTCATATCCATGGGTCTGGGGCTAGCTAGCTCTTTCACTGGCTGAGCCATCTCACCAGCCCCTCACCTTTTTAATTACCAGCAAGTGACATAAATTTCCTCACCTTGTACCTCTACAAGTGTTAAATAAAAAAAAAAAAAAAAAAACACTACATATTTGCCTTAATTATAAATAATAGGGAGATTAATAATAGTACTAGCTTAATAATCTCCTTTGACTTTCCCCTAAAGTTGATTTGCTATCTACTTGGGATGGAGTTGGCAGGGGAATTGGTGAAGGATGTGTATCTTAGTCGGTGTGAAGAGACACCACTTAACTGAGGGCTTGTTTACAGTTTCACAGGTTTAATCCGTTAATCATGCCAGGGAGCTTGCATGCAGGCAGGTCTGCAGGGAGAAGTAGCTTAGAGCTTTACATTCTGATCCACAGGCAGAGAGAGAGGGGGAGGGAGGAAGAGGAGAGACAGACAGACAGACAGAGACACACTGGACCTGGCGTGGGCTTTGAAACCTCAAAACCCACCCCCAGCAATACCCCTTCTCCAACAAGGACAAACCTACTCCAAGGAGAAGAGCACACCTCCTAATCCTTCCCAGCAGTCCACCAGCTAGGAACCAAGCATTCAAACATCTGAACCTGGGGCCATTTTCTCACCACCACTGTGTAGTTTCTGGAGGTTGCCCCTTGGAGGGGTGTGGAGTTAAGAGTAGATAATGACTTTTGTTTGTCTGCTTCTGAGTTCCAGTGTTCTTATGTGTTACGGATGAAACTAACTTACTGTTGAGTTAGAAAGACAGAACCCAGTAATATTCAAATTCAGGCATCCCAACTCCTGTTCAAATGTTACTTTCTTTTCAGCTTTTGGCAAGGCAAGTATAGTGGTTAGTTTTTTCACTTTTTCTTTAAAATTGAAATTATCTGTATTATTTTTACAGCTGTATTTTGGTTGCTGTTTTCTTTGACTAGTTAGTATGTAAACAAAGTCGGAAGTTGTGGATATTAGCTTTTTAATGCAAAAGCCAAACTACAGAGACTGTTGAGTACATTTCACCTGTTTAGAAATGATTCGGTTCCTCCTTAACAGACAGCACTTTAAAGGAAACCACTAACTGAACCATCTTCTTGACGAATATATGATTAAGCCTGAACAAACCAGGCTCCCCTGCCTTGTTTCTTTGTTGTATTAGGAAAGGCTTGAGAGTCAGGCATGATGACTCACATCTGTAATCTCAGCACTGGGGGAATGGAGGCAGGAGGAACAGGAATTCATCCTCCGCTACATAGCAAGTCGTCACCAGCCTTAGCCACATGAGACCCTATCTGAAATACCAACCCAAAGGAAAAGTTGAATGTCCCCCATCTGGCCTGGTTCAAGTACAGGAGGCATGGGGCATGCTTAGTAGCCTTCCAGGTGCCACTCAGCTTTGATTCTATGCTTAAGGAGGTGTTCATGGTTTCGTTAGAGTACAGGTGAGCCTGTCTTCATCTTCCCTAATGCTTTTCTCCTGTATTCAATTCCTCGGTGTTTAGCCAAGAGCCCCCTTCCCAAAAAAAGCAATGGGGAGGGTAGGAAATAAAAAGTGAAGACAGAACTTGCTCCCGTCTATCTATCTATCAGAGTCCAGACTCTGGCCCATGGCTCAGGCCTGAAGAATGTAGCCTTCCTGAATAATGACACCATAATCTTACAGCCAGGCAGGCCAGAATTCCTCGGCTCTTTGGAATGCATCTTGTTCCAGCATTAAAAAATTAACACGTGATTAAATAATTAAATATAATGATTTATTCTTTCCAGTGTAGAGTGCTATCAGTTTTGACTAATGCATTTAATCTCTGTTACCCTTCTGTATGCGGTCGCTTCTGTTCCCTCAGATCCTGACAGAACTCTTTCTATCCATAGAGCTTCCAGAATGTGACATGAATGATGTGCATGGTATTTCACTTTCAAGTCTGGCTCTTTCACATGTTTTCCAGCTGTTTTTGCATGTATCAGTACCTCATACATTTTTATTGCTGAGCACACTATTGGATGTTGGATGGCTATATTACATCTTTCAGCAAAGCAGTTGGTCCATTTCCAATTTAAAGCTATTATGCTATTA